CCTGGGGACGCTTGGGACACACCTGGGTACACCTGGGGGTGCCCAGGTATGGCTGTGGGGGTCACCTGAGGTCACCGGGAGGGGCCTGGGATCTATCTGGGGGTTACCTGTGGCACACCTGGGACGCACCTGGGTATGGCCGGGGTACACCTGGGACGCACCTGGCGCTGCTGAGGTTGTTCTGGGGTCACCTGGGCACACCTGGGGACATGCAAAGTCACCTGGGGGTACCCAGGACGCACCTGAGGGTACCTGGGACATACCTGGGCACACCTGGGGACATCCAAAGTCACCTGGGGGTACCCAGGACGCACCTGAGGGTACCTGGGACATACCTGGGGGGTACCTGGGACATACTTGGGCACACCTGGGGACAGCCAAAGTCACCTGAGGTCACCCTGGGGGTACCCAGGATGCACCTGAAGGTACCTGGGACATACCTGGGACATACCTGGGGATACCTGGGACTTACCTGGGGGTACCTATGACATACCTGGGCACACCTGGGGGTACCTGGGCATACTTAGGGGTACCTGGGACGTACCTGGGGGTACCTGGGACACAGCTCAGGGTACCTGGGACATACCTGGGCACACCTGGGGGTACCTAGGACATACCTGGGGGTACCTGGGACATACCTGGGCTCAAACAGAGACCACCTGGTCTCACAGCTGGTGCCACACCTGAGCTCACCTGGGGTCACCAGGACATGGGGGAGGCCTGATGACCCCCGTGACCTTCAGGGTGACCCCCCCCCAGGTGACCTTTGGGCGAAAACGGGGAATTTTTTTTTTTTTTTTTTGTGTTTTCCGCTCCGTTTTGGCTCCGTTTGGATAAAAAAAAATCAAAAAAAACCCCAAAAAACGTTTCGGGAATTTGGGGATGGGTGGGAGGGTGAATCCCGTCCTGCTCTGTGGTACGGCCAAGATGGCGGCGCCCGCGGGGCCAAGATGGCGGCGCGCAGTCACGCGTGCCCGGTGGTCCAAGATGGCGGCCTGCAGGCCGGAAGTGCCGGTGCAGAGCGGAAGTGGAGACAAGCAAATGACGTGACGGGTCGGCCACGCCTCTTTTCAGTAAGCCACGCCCACAAAAGGGGCGGGGCAGACCGCGGCACTGAGCCGGCTCCTTCCCTTCACGTCAAATCTCGCGAGAGCGCGCGGGAGAGGTGGGAAAGGGGAGGCGGTTGGATAAAAGCGGAATCTCGCGAGAGTTCCCGTTCAGAAGTTTTAAGGGTCTCGCGAAACTCGGGAACGCGGGAAGGAGGGGGTAAGATCTCGCGAGAGCTCCCACCGAGATGCGTTACGGACTCGCGAGAGTTGGCGGAGCAGAACGAGTAGAGGAAGTCGAATCTCGCGAGACAACCCATTGAAACGCGCAGAGATCTCGCGAGAATTGACGCGGCGGGAGGGCGGGAACAAGGGGAGCGAGGGAAAGGTGGGGAGAAATCTCGCGAGAACACCCATTGAGACGCACGGCGATCTCGCGAGACTTGCATGAAGGGCGGGAAGGAGGCGGGAGCGAGGGACGAGCCTCAGTTTTGTGGGGGGTGGTGAAATCTCGCGAGGGAGCCCCTAGAAAAGCGGTATGATCTCGCGAGACGTCGTTTGGAGGGAGGGGGACGAGGGAGGAGGAGGAAGGCCTGAAAGAGAGGGGAGGAAAGAGGGGGCAAAAATTCCGCTATAGCGCCCATAGGGAAGCGTTACAATCTCGCGAGAATTCGCGTGGCGTCAGGGCGGGATGGAGTAGCGAGCCGGGAAGGCGAGCGGAGTGAGGGGAGGGCCGAAGTCTCGCGAGAGCGCCCATTCATACGCGCCGCGGTCCCGCGAGGCTTGGCTTGGTGGAGGGGCGTTGAGGGGGGGGGCAGGAGGAGCGAGATATCGCGAGATCGCAGTGCGACTCAATGGGAGGTCTCGCGATATTTGGCGTGGCGGGAGGGCGGGAAGGAGGAGCGAGGAACCTGGAGGGGGAACTCGACCTCGCGAGATCTCAATGCCTTTCAATGGGAGATCTCGCGAGATTTGAGGGGGGCGGGTATAGAGGGCGGGAAAGAGGAAAGGCGGGAGTAGTGGGGGGGGGCGGTGCGAGATCTCGCGAGAGCGCCCATTGGCGAAGCGTTGCGCTCTCGCGAGAGCTGGCCGGGCGCGCGCGAGGCCGCCGCCATTTGCCGGCGTCTCCCTCAGGCCCCCGGACTCCATTTCCCGTGAGCCCTGAGGGAGAGGGGGCGGAGGGGGGTTC